TGTGCCACTTCTCGTCGCCAAGATATCGCACCTTCACTGCGCCACCGGCACAAGACACAGCCGCGCAGACCCCGTCAGTCTTAACAGTCTTGACGTCTAATTTGTTAGCGAACAAGGAGTCGACGTCCAGGCACCACGACTCATTCCCCAACAGGCTCCCAGGTGATGGAGGTTTCCTTTCATCGCTACACGAAAACCCAGATTGTACAACAACAGGGCAGTAGTCTGTTAGCGTGGCTTTGTGACTGCCGAAGTAAGGGCGTGCAAAATACTGATACTGGGTGAGCAAGTCATGCTCATACGGCTCCACTGAACATATCCCAACACCTGTGCGGTCAGATGTGCATCGCATTTTCTTTTCGCTGCAGAACATGTCCGGGTATTTCGTGGCACCGTTCGTCATACACTTCTCCTTTAGCAGGCCGCAGCCGGCGTTACTGCCCCAGCTCATCGGCTCCTCCATCCCCCAATTGGCGCGGAAGAAGCCCATATCCTCGAACGCCGCCATCGTCAGTGCAGTGTAGAGGTAGGCGCCGAAACCAACCGGCGTGGCCATCAGCTCGTCCTTCGCGTTGCGCCGCTCCCAGTGAGACAGCTTGTCTCCTTCCTCCCCCTCCTCGTCCTCCAGCTCCATGCCGGTAAGTTCATCGCAGCCGTAGTGCGCTCGGGCCTTCTCCACAGTCTTGGGAGACTTCACAACCGTGACCTGTGCCTTGCCGCGCACATTGCTGACCTTTGAGACCATGCCAAGGGACTCCATCTGCTGGTACCCGAACCCGAGTGCGTGCGCGATCTGGTGGGCAACAAGTCGCGTTGAAAACCGCAAATATGTGATATCAATGGCACCCACGTTCACTGCGCCTGCGAGTGGACGAGTACCCAAGGTGGCGCAGGGAACACCCCACACGGGTGCCTGATTAGATGGGCCAGCCGCAACGTACAGCACCATGTCCGCGTTGCTCACGCCTGCTGTGTGATGTTCAGACGGCACTGTGAAGTGTTTGCACACAGAACCCTCAGCAAACTCAGGCACCTTTAAAGGGCCGCTCACAGGCTGGACGAGCAGACGGTCTGTGTGCAGTTTCACAGCAGCAGGGATAATCACCTTGATAAGGGTGTCCACATCCTCTGGCGTTTTTATATCTTCTTCTGCACACTCAAGATCTCCACTCTCCACAGACACAGCCTCCACATTTTCCAAACCACAATACTTTGATGGGTCCTCGAGGTCCTTTGTGGACACCACGATGCGGAGAGGCGCCCAGCTGTCCGACCCCGCAGCGGTGTACGCCCGCATGCCGCTCTCGCCCTTCTGCGGCACCTCCGCAACCATGGCGACAGGAAGATTGCCGCTCGCCCTCATAATCTCATCGAACCCACAGCGATGATGCGCAGAGGCGAGACACGCACCGGCACAGCACAGCAGCACCACAAAGAGCGGCAGTTTGGCATTGAGGGAACGGTGTCTCATGTTGTTCCTGTGTGTAATAGGGGCGTGGCTGCAAATAGCAACGGTTGCCTACAAAAGGGAAGGAGGTGGAAACCAGTGGAGGTGTGAGCAGGAGAAGAGGCGTGCACACATTCGAGGGCGCAGCCGCAGCGGGGAAGGAAACACGGCGGGGCCACAGTCAGCAGCTGTGTGTGTCTGTGTGTGGGTACTGGTGGGGCGCCGGGTAACTGGCGGTGCAGACACGCATCGCCGCAGCGTCGCTTTCAACGCTACCGTAACCTCCTGGTCACTGCCGCAACTGGCAACAAGGAGCAACCCGGCAGCGGGGGGCGGAGACACGCCGCATGCACAGGCCGGCAGCAGCAGCACCACAGCTACCTGTGAAGAGCAGCAACAACAGCAGCAGCAAGGCGGAGAGATCGAGAATGGTATCATGACCACACAGCATGCAGAGAGGAAAAGCACAAGACCTCACGCAGCGAAAAGAAGACACCTTACACCCGAAAGACACACCACACCAAACCAGGCGTCATTACATAAAGATAAAACATTTACACATATATCTACCCACGTCGCTGTGCGACACGCAATGAAAGCCCAATTGTTAAAATAAAAACGTGTTTTGGTGTCGCAGAACGACAAGCAGTGTAAGCCCAACCTTAAATATTAGAAGCACAAACCGACGACCAAACGATCCCCCTTCCCGGCGTATCCTCCCGAGAAGCCACACACACCCTTCCTTCCCCTTGCTTGTATATAATTGCCGTCAACAGATCCTTGGTGTACTCCCTGACCCACGCATCACCAGATAACAATCGCCGTGGTGAACACCGCGACGAACACAATGGGTGCGGCGATGCCCAAGACACCCGCACTGCCATCGCCGATATTGGGACAGATGTAGCTGCTGCTCGTGTCACGAGTGGAGTGGGAATGGATGAGGCTGCTGCCGTTGCTGGCGATGGTGCACACCTCGGTGTACTT